CCCCCCCATCTGAGATCAAGTGTGTCTGGGATTTGTTTGAAATCATCTGGTAACCCTACTCCCCCTGACCCCCGAGAAGCAGAACAGACACTGAACCTCTCCAGGTCCAAGAAGGGTGCAATTTTGGGCCCAGCTTCCTGGGATACCACTCCCCAAATGGGACCAAACCCCCCCAATGAATTACCTAGGTAAGCTTTAGCAATGAAAGGGGGAATGTGGACACTGGTTGCCCCTCCAGGTAACAATTATTTACACTGGGTTTGATAGAAAATAAAAGTGATTTTATTAAGTACAAGCAGTAGGATTTAAGTGGTAATAAGTGAGACCAGGCAGAGCAAAGTAGGTTACAAATCAAAAGAAACAAAACCGCTTGGCTAATTCTCCACTGAAAACCTCAGTACAAACTTTTCAAACTCACCCTAAAACCTCTTTTCCAGCTGCCCCTCCAAACCAGGGTTGTCTCCAGCCCAGCCAAAAGACCCAGGCCCCTGTTCTTTTTTAAAGAATTGAGGCCACTCCCTACCAACCACTGCTCAGACTTAAGGACAAAAGAGATTGTTAAAAGTTGCTCATCAAGACATTGAGAGTAACACCCTCCATGTCTCTTATTCACACATTTAAAACCCACAAAGTATTCCCCACGCCATGGCTACGTCTAGACTGGCATGATTTTCCACAAATGCTTTTAACGGAAAAGTTTTTCCGTTAAAAGCATTTGCAGAAAAGAGTGTCTAGATTGGCACAAAGCACTTTTTGCAGAAAAGCGTCCATGCCAATCTAGACGCGGTTTTGCGCAAGAAAGCCCCGATCACCATTTTTGCGATCAGGGCTTTTTTGCACAGAACAATACTGCGTTGTCTACACTGGCCCTCTTGCGCAAAAGCATTTGCGCAAGAGGGCTTTTGCCCAAACTGGAGCAGCGTAGTATTTCCACAAGAACACTGACAATCTTATATGAGATCGTCCGTGTTCTTGCGGAAATTCAAGCAGTCAGTGTAGACAGGTGGCAAGTTTTTCCACAAAAGCAGCTGCTTTTGCGGAAAAACTTGTCAGTCTAGACGCAGCCCCATATGTCTAACTTTACACACACACATGATACATACATCGAAGTAAGATAAACAGAACTAGAGCATGACATGAAGATCGATGGGTTACATGAAATAATTAGCTCAAAGCACCTTTGAGTTATGCATATTCAAGTCCATAATTCCATTTCATAAAGCATGGGGGGGTCTGTCACAATCCCTTTCTGCATCCCATCCCCAAGCCAGAATCCTGTCCTGCTCCCATATTCCTTACCAGACCCTGCAGCCCAATCCCTTGTCCCAGGTCATAACTCCTCCATCCCGGACCCCACACCCTCTCCGCTGAAAAGCACGGCCCTTGACCACTTATCAAAATCTTGGAGTGGCCCCTCATCAAAAAGTATTCCTCCCCACTGCATTAGCCCCAGCCCTGCCCCTTCTGCCTTAAACCCCGCCCCTTCCAAGCAGCATGGGGTCAGGACCTCCCCACATTGACCAGGGGCCTGATGAGTCTGCCAGGCCCGCTACTGGCTGTATTGGCTCTTCATTCTGGCCATTGCAAACTCCAGAGCTGCAGCACTGCACGGATTTGGTCCCACCCCCATCATGACCTGACACCGTGCCTCTCACTCAGATTTGATCTGCCCAGACTGCCATCACTACGACCGCCGAGCTAGCCAAACCTGAGTGGTGCTGGGACTCCCGACCTTGCAGTGCCTGGAGTAGGAAGGCAAGTCCATCCAGTGCCATGGGACAGCAGATGGCAGCTGACCCTTTGAAACATTCTGGCAACTCATTCTTGGGTCTCAGCTCACAGGCTGAGAAACCCTGCGCAGAGGAACCCCAGGGTGAAAGACAGGCTGGGTCCGGAGGTCGGGGATCAGTCTCGGAAGTTCCCCACTTGGCTCCATGTCTCCCTAGCAGGTGGCATTGGACAGCTCTGACTTCTACACCAGCATGTATGCAGGATACTACCGGGACCTGGGTGCCTACCGGGAGCTGCTGAGCAGGGCTGTCAACTGGGATCACGCCTTCTGTATCCATGGTAATGTGGAGTCCACAGCACTGGGGAGAACTCCCAGCAATTGAGTATCTGTCCTATCAGGGCTAAACACCCGGATCTCACCCTACAGTACCAGCCCCAAACTCCTCCGCTCCCCCTAGGTTGCAAGGATGCTCTCAGGAGCCCTATGGGGCAGCCCCTTGCCAGAGCTGGGCTGCGGTCTGGTGAGTTTGGAAGCTCAAACTCCTGCCCCACCTGGCCCCTGTACCAGGCTGGGCTCCCCACATACATGGGCCCTTTTCTCATCACCCTTCACTCCCTGTCCCCATGGCTCACAGCCCATGGCTGCCTCCTGCAGGGCTCCGTGACGGGCTGTACGAAGCCTCCAGGGACATTGCCAAGGACAAGGGGGTCAAGCTGGAAGTGTTCCGCTATTTCGCTTACTTCCACCCGGATCCCAGCTCCATACCCGAGATCCGGTCAGTGTCTGCCTGCGCCGCAGGGCCCCACGGTGGAGGGGAGTGGTGGAGCAGGGAGCAGCCTGAGAGGCTGTCCAGTCTCTGGCTGGCTGTTGTGCACAATCCCTGTGGGGTTGGTAGTGAACCCAGCCTCAGCCCAGGAACTGCAGGGGAGGGAGAGCCCTGTTCAGCTGCTGCCCAGGGGCCCGAGCTCTCCCCAGAAACCCAGAACCAAATGGCATCTGTGCCACCAGTGGGGCCCCACACGCAGCCCCTAGGGAAGTGCAATCCTGCCATTAGCCATCAGCCTGGCAGGGTTTGGGCAGCAAGGGGCTGAGCCCCCCCCATCCCTGCACCATGTTCCACCTGGTCTCCATGTCCCATTCCCCACCCTGCAGAGCCAGCCAATTCCCCCTCTACTTGGTGTTAGCATGTCACTCTCCTGAGTCCCTGGAGTTTGGCTGGAACTTTTACGGAAATTCCCCCTGCCTTGAAAGGCCTCCCCACTCTGATTGGCTGCTCTTCCCTGTAAGTCCTCTGAGAGAGGCAGCCAATCAGAGTTGCTATAGTCAGATATTTTCCTCCCTTCTGCACCTAATGGGGGCCAGAAGGACCCCAGCAGGTGCAGAAGGGAAGCTGGGAACAGAGTTGGCAGGCCCCTGGATGTAGAGAGAACTGATGAGGCAGAATGAATTGCTGGGCAGGAGATCCGCCCTGGGAGTGTTGGCAACACTGATTGTCACACCCAGGGGTCAGGGGTGTTCAGCGACCCAGGAAGACCCACAATCGCAGCATCTTTTTAAAATATCCCTATTGAGGCCTGACTCCTGGGCCCTAAAACTTGGAGTTTGGTCCTGCTGCTCTCTGCCCCACCAGGCTGGATCCGAATATGAGGCTCTCAACCCTGGATGTCTCCCACCTCGACGTGATGAACGAGAACTGGCCCTATGGGGGGAACAAGTACAGCAGGAGGTTCATGGACAGCCTGATCCGCCACTTCCCGAACTTCTGCCTCCTAGACTCCGCTGGCCAGCTGGTCAGCTGGAGTATTTCAGACACGTATGGAGCCATGGGTCGTAGCGTCACTGTGCCCCAGCACCGGGGGCGCGGTTACAACGGGGTGCTGAATAATGTATTAGCCAAGCGGCTCCATGCACTAGGCTATCCCAGCTACGGCCACGTGGCCGTGGACAACTACACCATGCAAAGGCTGCAAGAGCGGCAAGGCTTCCACCGCCAGCCCAACTTGTGCCACTTCATCCTCCACAACGCAGCGCTGTACAGAACCCCCACGCTAACCCCCAAGCCAGGACCAGCCACAACCCCCGCGTGAGTCCCCAGCCTAGCCATTAAGGGGCTCAGGGAAACCCAGGGCAGGGGGTGGAAGAACCTGGGGACCAGTATTACACCCAGTGGAACCAGTAACATCTCCCAGCTACAGCCCCACGGGGGATCTGCTACTCTTCTGAGGTTCGTAACCTGCCCTCCTTGGTAGAAGCTACCCCCCCAGCCCATACACACAGCACCCCATCCCACTTCCCCTGCATTGCCCCACCCCACTTCCTCTGCCAGACACCCCAGCCACAGCTCAATGATCTTCCATCCAATCAAGCTAAGTATTCACCTGCATTTGCTCTGCTTCTCCTCCCTTGCATTCCCTGGGGTAGCCTGCTCCCCATATTACATCTAACTATTCTCCAGATGTATCAGCCTCTGTGAGACATCTCCAATCTCCCTCTATACTCCCCCATCACATCTCTGCCTGGGGCAGCCTGCACTCATCAGATCTATCCTGATCCCCTAGATGATACAGATACCACAGTTTTAAACAGGGTGGGAAGGGGCCGTGCAAAATTGGTCTCCAGTAAGTAACATCTCCTTGAGAGGGGTGTGCTGGGCCTCAAGGTCAAGTCTGTCTCAGTAACTCAAGGGTTAAATATGACCCGGGGATGCTCATCATCCTCAAACCAAACTTCACTGTCCCCCAGGACTCCTTACCTGAGGTTACACCCAAAAGCAATCCAGACCTGTTCAATTCAGCACCAATCAGCCAAGGCACCCACATTCCCTTAACTCCACGCACTGTCATTGGCTGATAGTAGGAACCATTTCATGCTTTGTGATCCCAGCTGCAATTAAACTGATTGCTACAGACACCTTTGAGCAGTGTTTCTTAAACCTTTTAAGACCAAGAAACACCAAACATTTTTTTTATTTTTGAGTAATACCAAGGATTTTGAACTCTGTTGTTCTCCGTGGCACACCTCTGACTGCCGGAACACAGTTTAAGAAACACTGTCTTTGAGTGTTTCACGGCCTTGCTTCCTGGCACGGCTGGGACCATGTGCATGATGGGAGTGGCAGAATCACAGCTAGGGCCACACAAGTTTCCTGTTTTTCAAATGAAATTTTCCCTGAAAAGGGGCTGTATGTTCCCAGAAAGTGTTGGCTTTGTGTGTAACCTCTGAAGGGCTAAAAGCCAAAGTGATCTGGGTGCGCAACCTGGTCTGGGGACTGGTGTCTGCAGCAACAACTGTCGGGTCAAATATCCAGGGCTTCCTTTTGAAAACTAACCAAGAGCACTGGTTGGAGCCACCCCACCATATTTCTCATGTAAGCAGGTCTGAAGGAATGTGCCCTTTACAGTCAGCTGGAAATGGGGAGAGACCCTGGGTGTGCCTATATAAGCACAATTTGCTCCTGCTTTGCTTAGGTTTGTTGAATATTCAGCTGATGGAGCCACAATTTGCTCATTGTAATCAAGTTGGCTGGTGTTGGGTCACAAATTATATTAAAACTAATTGCAGTGTGTGTGATTATGGTGGGAATATAGAAAAGAAAGACTGCTTAACCTGGTTTAAAGGAGAGAGATATTCTCAGTATAAAGAATGAGATGCTGGGTGTGTGAATGTAAAACACAGCTTACTCCTGTTGGCATAAGAACAGCCATACTGGGTCAGACCAAAGGTCCATCTTGCCCGGTGTCTTGTCTGCTGACAATGGAGATGCCCCAAAGAGAGTGAACAAGAAACAGGTAATCATCAGGTGATCCCTTCCCTGTCATCCATTTCCAGCCGCTGACAAACAGAGGCGAGGGACACCATTCCTACTCATTCTGGCTAATAAGTATTGAAAGACCTAACCTCCATGAATGTATCTAGTTCTTTTTTGAACTCTGTTAAAGTCCTGGTCTTCATTACATCCTCTGGCAAGGAGTTCCACAGGTTGACTGTGCACTGTGTGAAGAAAAACTTCCTTTTGTTTGTTTTAAACCTGCTACCTATTAATTTCGTTTGGTGATCCCTTAGTTCTAATGTTATGGGAACAAGTAAATAATTTTTCTTTATTCACTTTCTCCATATCTGTCATGATTTTATAGACCTCTATCATATCTCCCCTTAGTCACCTCCTTTCTCATCTGAAAAGTCCCAGTCTTTTTAATCTCTCTTCATATGGCACCCATTCCAAACCCCTCATCATTTTGTTGCCCTTTTTTGAACCTTTTCCAATGCCAATATATCGGTTGTAAATCCACTGCCTCCAGTGAAACTACACCAGAGGGTAAAATTGGCCTTGTAGATTTTATTCTTTTTCTAAACTGCTGCAAAAAGATCTATGGGATTACCTTGTTCCAGAAAGCCTCAGCATCATACAGCTAGTTATTGTTTGTCCCTGCATGCTAGTGTAACAAAAACTAAAATGAAAAGAGAAATAAAATGCTACACCAGAAAGCATAAAGTGGCAAATAATTTGCCACTCTCTCCCCTCCCCGTTTGCTAGTACACCTGATTCCTGTCCTGTCGTATTCCCTGCTTTTCCCAGTTGGGAGCCCCTGTCCAGCTTTTGTGAGCCTGACTGTAGACCTCTTGCAGTCTCAAGATAAAAAGATACTTTCTGAGAAATGGCCTGAGATCTGTAAACTCCTTTAACTTTTGCCCATCTGTTGGGCAGTGCAATCTCTCCATAATGCTTCAGCCACTGACATACAGGATTCAAATCTGTTGGGCTCGTAAGAGTCTGAGGGGTCTAGGAGTCATGTGGCTTGGCTGGACATCTGGGGGAGCGGGACAACTAGAGAGAGAGGGATATTTGGGGGAGAGGAGGCAGTGAGGACAAGGGTGACGGGTGGGGGCTGGGGAAGGAGTTGGAGCCAACCAGGGGAGATGGGAGGTGAATGTGGGTTTTAGTGGGGGCTACAGAGGCAGTGAGGATGTGGGAGAGGCCGCAGGGGCCAAGGCACTAACATTCAAGTACTCCCAGGCACTGTTTTCGCCAAGGCTGGCTTTGAGCAGGAGCAAGGTGAGCAAACTTAGTGGGAAGCACCAGGTGGGAGTCTTCCAAAGCCGGCTTTGAGCGGGAGCAAGGTGAGCAAGCTTAGTGGGAAGCACCAGGTGGGAGTCTGAATTTATTTCTAAACTTTCAGACCTTAATAACAGAACCAACTGATTCCTGATTAAAAATTGGTCTCACGTGTCAGTCTTTTCGTTTGCGAATGTGTTCATTGGGCCCTGGGATTGGATTATGCTTTCTACTAGCTTCCCAAAGACGTTGGTTAAAGGAGAGCCTGTGTTAAAACTGATTGGATTTAATAACGTTCTCATTATTAGCTCTGCACAATGGCAAAAAGACAAGTGAGTTTGGAAGCTTTCCTGCAACGAAAGCTCACTCGCCAATGCCAAGGACAGCAGTAACTGGGCCTGGCTTTTCTGGAGGTCACAATTCTGTATATAGCAGCAGTGAGTGTTACCATGATACTGTGCAGGGTTTGGGCTGTGTTAGGGTTACATTTATTATTCACAAGGCAGATTGTGGCCCTTTATTCTGAGGTCGCGATGTGTGCACAACAAAACTGCAGGATGCATATGAATCTTTTATAAAAAGATTTTCAAGTGTCAGAAGCAGCAACGTACAAGTTGGCCCTAATGCTAGCCAAATAGTAGGACAACTTTCTTAAGACGCTTAATGTACGTACAAAGCATGCACAGTTTCCTTCGTGTGTAGCCAGGCCCTCCAACGGAGGGCCAAAAGGGGGCAAATGCCCTGGGGCCCAAAGCTCCCAGCCACCCCTGCTACTGTAGCAGCAGCGTCTGGAGTCCTGAGTCCCTTTGAATTGCCACCAGAGTGCTGTTGTGCACAGCTCTGACGCCTGGGAGGGGGGAGTGTGCCGTACTCTGGATGGCACTACGGACTGACTGCCCTCAGCCCTGCTCCTTTCACCCAAGGCGCCACCCCTTCTGACGCCTGACGCCCCTCCACACACACCGTGCCCCAAGGACTGCAGTAGCTGTCCGCCCAACTGGGTGTCGCTCTATTTCATAGTAGTCTGTATCTGCTAGTGCACAGTATTGTAAAACAAGACAGCAAAAGTAGCACTAGAAACCAACACTCCTTTGGTACCTGCCTTGAACCCTGCTGCATAACACTATGACCTTTTAATTGTGCCCCCTCACTATCCACAGTTACAGCGGAGTAGGGCAACCTATTCGTGCAGCCATGGGAGGGAGGAGAGTCACTTCAGCAGTGGTACTAAACATGCTCAGTACAAGCCAAGCAGCAAATGGTGGTTGGAGGAGGGGAATTGACCCACCTACCCACCCACCACCTCTTGCCAGAAACTACTTGAAAACCCTAGTTTTTTTTGGCAGATAACTTAGCAATTAGCTGACAAGAGCCCTGCAATGCCTATATAAAAGAAATACAATTAATAAATATTAGACCTGCTCAGCTCTAATACTAACATGCTGACATCTTATGGCGAGTCACTTAAAGGACACTGCTTAGCCTTAAAATTGTAATATATATTCTTACTTTGTTACTAACTCTGTGGAGAGAGAGAGAGTCTGTCAGGACGCCTGGGCTCTTACTATTTCAGGGGTGGGGGGAGGAAGAAAAAGAGAGAAGCAATTGATGGACCTCCTTGAATTTATTTTGTTCTTATTGAAACCCTGTTAGAGTTTGAGCCTTTCTACCATCCCCTGGCAAAAAGTTCCACAGGTTGATGGTGACAAAATTATTTCTTTTGTTTGTTTTAAAGTTGCTGCCTATAAAAGTCATTGGGTGAGCTTCTTGTGTTATGTTAATAAAGGAGTAAACAACATTTCCTTATTCAATTTTTCCCAACCATTCATGATTTTCTAGACATCTAACATACATAGCCCCCAACTTTAGTCATTTATTTTCCAAGCTGCAAAGTCCTGATCCCTTTATCCTTTGGTATATATGGTTGTGACTACTTTCTTCCGCTATTTGATCTGAGGAAGTGGGTCTGGCCCATGAAAGCTCATCGCCTAATAAACCATCCTGTTAGTCTTTAAATTGTCCTGCATTTTGCTTCAACTACCCCAGACTAACACGGTTACATTTCTATCACTGATCCCTTTAGTCTCTCCTCCTGTGGAAGCTCTCTTACCTGTAATCATTTGTTGCCTTTTTTCTGTTCTTTTTCCAAATCCAGTATTTTTTTTAAGATAGGGCAACCAGATCTGCATGCAATATTTAAGATGTGGACATGCCATGACTATAGAGGCAATGAGATTTTCTGTCTTATCTATTCCTTTCCCGATATTCTATTAGCTTTTTAGAGTTGCTCCATGTTCAGTGGCAATGTTTTCAGGGAACTATTCACAAAAAAAGAGATCTTTGAATCATTGAGTGGTAACAGCTAATTTAGACCCCATCATTTTGTGTATATAGTTGGGATTATATTTTTCCATGTGCATTACTTTGCATTTATCAAAATTGAATTCCACCTGCTGTTGTGTCGCCCAATTGCTCCATTTTGTGAGATCCTTTGTAACACTTTGCAGTCAGTTTTGGACTAAACTATTGAGTAAGTTTATATCATCTGCAATTTTTGCCACTTCGCTGTTTACCTCTTTTTCAGTCATTTATGAACAAGTTGAACAGCACTGGTCCCAATGTAGATGACTATTTTCCACCCCCCTATCTTTTAAATCAGCAGTTGCTAACCATTTCCAAATAGGAACCCATTTTGCCAATTAAGGAAGACTAGGCAACTCAAGGCAATTCAAAAAATGTGAATGGCTCTTAAGGAATTCTCTCCACTCCACTGGAGCCAAGGGTGCGGGGGGCAGCAATGTCCCAGGACGCCCACTACACACCCACGCACATTCCGCCAGGGCACTGCACTGAACAGGGGCTCCCGAGGCTGGCCTGGCAGATGGACACTAAGGGCTGGTCAACAGGACAGAGTTACTGAGCCAGTGAAAATCCCCCCTCCGGAAGGACGTGGTTACGCTGAGCTAAGCCCCGTGCAGATAGCGCTAGGAGGGCAGAACTGGGGCTGCAGCATTTTCAATCAGCTGCCCCCCCCCCAGTCTTGCCACCCTCCGGTGCATGATGCCTCCATCTCCTACGACACTGACATTTACCTCTCCCATGTGCTCACCTGCCTCCTGACAGTCCCTTGCCAGACCCTCTGCCCCAATAGTGACACAATGTGCACAACTCACAATGAGGTAACCTGGGTCTTACAGGCTACCCTGGCACCTTTCCTTTGATCCCACACAGCAGGAAATGGGCTTTACTCTGCTGAGGGGAACAGCCCCTGAAACCACCACGTCTCACGCCCAGCTCTGCCGAGCTGCTCTAGCAAACTCCTCCCCCATTCTGTACAGCCGCACCTAACACACTCAGGGCAGATGGAGCCCAGGGCTCTGGGCAGGGGAAGAGTTCAGGCCAATGGGCTAGCACCTGGTCTCCTCACTGTTTGGACCTGACAGTTTTGCTGGGCTCCATGTTTGGGAAGGGCCCCTGGAATTTCTGAGCAGCATTAAAGCCGCAGTTTGCCCGTCACTTAGCGCTGGCCGCCAGGCAGACGAGGGAGCAGGAGACATGGATGCAGCAACACTGCAGCTTTGAACCAAGAGACAGAGTGAGAGGGAGGCGACCGTGTCTGTGAGCCCCCCCCCCCCCCCTCACAACCAGGATGCGGAGACAAGCCAAGATGGATCCCAGAGAGCTGGGTATTGCAGCAGCTGAGGCTGCCAGCATGGTCCCGGCCTTCAGCTTGGCCTTGCCTGACCAGCCTGAGGACTCTTTGAGCCTGGATTCCAGCTGAATCACACAGGTGAAGGTGAATGAGGGCAGATACTGGTTGCATTGCTCCTGGCAGGGAACAAGCTGTGACAGCCCCATCCAAAGAGATTCCATCTTTGGGTAGGTGGAAACCTGCCCAGCCCACACCCCATGGCTGCTACCCAGTGCAACTAGCTACCCTTGTGAGATCCTGGCCACAGCAGGGGGAAAATAGGCACCGCGCATCCCAGGGAACACGTGCCTTGGGACAAGGCTGGGAAGGTCACAGAGCAGAGGCAAGGTCAACACCAGAGGGCTCAGCCTGGCTCCCAGCCCATCCCTGAGTCAAAACAATAGAGACACCAAGGCTACGTCTACACTGGCCCCTTTTCCGGAAGGGGCATGTAAATTTCACCTATCGTAGTAGGGAAATCCGCGGGGTATTTAAATATCCCCCGCGGCATTTAAATAAAAATGTCCGCCGCTTTTTTCCGGCTTTTAAAAAAGCCGGAAAAGAGCGTCTACACTGGCCCCGATCCTCCGGAAAAAGCGCCCTTTTCCGGAGGCTCTTATTCCTACTTCGAAGTAGGAATAAGAGCCTCTTAAATGCCGCGGGGGATATTTAAATCCCCCGCG